TAATTCACCCAAAAATGAAAATTCTGTCACCATTTACTCACCCTCATGTAGTTTCAAACCTGTGTAGGGTATCAGAGCGAATCAGATCATTTAAGATTTGATCAGATTGGTGTTGAACAACCCAAAGAGCCGAATTCCACAGAGAGGCCCAAGGCAACAGGATGTTTGTAAATCAGATCCTGGCACCACGAGTCTGAAGTGAGCCTAACAAACTAGCAGCTTCAAACAGCTTTCAACATTAAACAAAAGAACACTTATTGACAATTCCAACTCAGAAAGGAGATTGTCAAATTTGGGGCACATAACCAAGATTAATGATTGAAGAGGCAACATCATGACCATCACATGAGGGAAATCATTATTGGAGACTTTGTTTGGTGGTTTCCCCACCCAGGACAAGAACCAGACTGAGATTCCTTAGGAGACCTTTAAACCTCTCTGGTCTTCACAGAACATGTCCTTACATCCACAGAATGGCACAGAAACTGCCTTTCCATGTATATATGCACCTAAATGACGCTAAAAGGATTTATGAGCAACTAATCATTTCTATGCATAACTCCATATTATGCATGTAACCCACACATTTGACTATCATGTTCTAATCACTTATCGTGTATGTATTTTGAATAACTATTGAATAGTTTATAGGATTATATTCATGTTGGGTATGTATGAGTTTGAAAATTCATGCTTTAAACATTTTTCCAATCAATTCTTTGTCAAATGTATCATATTCTTGTTATAGAAATCATGTCCAAAATTATACTCCGCAAGAGCGGGAAAATTTGGACCATGTGACTTATAAGGTCACATGTTGATTTATGTATTGGGAGGAGAAACATACAACACCCAGAGCAAAGACAATATCTAATTGGTCAAGACACCATTTGGGATGTGTCCAACAGTCCGGTTTAAATACTCAGGACACCATCAAATTATGCTTTTAGCCATAGCTTTTAGCTATGCTTTTAGTCATCACTTTTAGCCATGCTTTTTGCCACTGTTTTTTGCCCGTAAATTCGTCGAGCGCCATTCCAGCGTGCTTCGGCCTGCACACCCGCTTCTACTTAGCCACGATGAGAAGAAAACCATCTAGTCCCGTTACTTCTATTCTTCTACTTTAATTGCTTTTCTTTTCCGTTGAAAGTTTCGTGTTCTGAGTTAAGTTTTGTCTCCGAGTTCACCTCGAGTCTGTGACTGCCTCAAAACTTCAACCAGCCCACAACTCCGTATCTTCAGCCAATGCCCAACTACTGGCTTCCCAAGACATTACTTCAACTTCGACTACTGAACTTCCAGCCAATCATCAACCTCGGGAAACCCCCTTTTCTGCAACAAAGACAACAAAGGGAACTCCCTTACAGGCAATGTAAGTACCTCCAGATTCTAGCTGAACTGGTGCAATTACTTCAACTTCGACTACTGAACTTCCAGCCAATCATCAACCTCGGGAAACCCCCTTTTCTGCAACAAAGACAACAAAGGGAACTCCATTACAGGCAATGTAAGTACCTCCAGATTCTAGCTGAACTGGTGCATTTAATATCAATTTTAACCTCACTGAGGAACTCAATTCGAGGGTTAATTAAGTGATTGATGGTTGTTCAGATCTATGCAATTGCACATATTGCTGTAAACTTGGGATTTCACATTTTTATTCACTTAAACTCATTCTTTCCTCACTTGGAAAGAATGTGTTTTGTGCTTACAAGTTAATGTCTTAAACTGCCGATCTTGTTACTGTGCTAATTACGTTTTCTCACTATATTTTGGATTTTAATATCCATTGCAGAGTTGATGTTAGACGGTTCGTTCAATGAATCGCTGACCGATTCAGTGATCAGTCGTAAAACAGTGATTCTGTCCAAATTCCCTATAAAATCATAAATGATTCCCTTTGAGCTAAATTGACCTGTTTCCCTTACACCTGTATGACTCACTGTCTTCTGTGGAACGCAAGAGAGGAAATTCTAAAGAATTCTACTAGTCGCTCTTTTTCATGCAAATACTATGAATTGAAACTGAGGCTTTCAAGATTTAAAAAGGACAAATTGTCCTTTGAGTAAGATGTTTTAATGAACAGGTTTATTCAGTTCAGTAAACCAGTCTGAATGATTTGTTCAAAAATCAGACTGATAAAGTTCTCCAGTTCACCGACTCAATGATACATGTGCTCAATGAAGAGGAATCTTCTCAGTAAATAACCATGTATAGTTTTTGTCTATCACATGGATTCAGAAAATGTTTAATATACTCTTACGGTAATTTTGTGTTCTTAAAAAGCTTGAACGTCTCAGTCTCCATAGGTTCTAATTGCACCCAAAATAACCAGTTCAATTCTCCTTTTGTGTTCCATGGAAGAAATAAAGTCACATAAGCTTGTTGTTTGATCCCCTGATACACTTAAGCGATGCATCAGCTGCAATAAGGAATAAATTGGCGATAATGTTGGTAATAATGTTAACAATCGATTTTTTTTTTTTATGCATTCAATATATCCCAAGTACATGACATTTTATATTGCATTGTTTTCCTGTCTGTATAATTAGAGCAATCTTACATTCAAAAAGGCATCACAAACCTGATACACTTAAGCGATGCATCAGCTGCAATAAGGAATAAATTGGCAATAATGTTGGTAATAATGTTAACAATCGATTTTTTTTTATGCATTCAATATATCCCAAGTACATGACATTTTATATTGCATTGTTTTCCTGTCTGTATAATTAGAGCAATCTTACATTCAAAAAGGCATCACAAACACAAAAGCACAATCTTGTTTAGATACGCTTTGTAACAAGGGAACCTCAGGCTGGAATGTGTTAGTGTACCTACAAGCAAGTCTCTGGTGGGCTGCACTGATTCGCGTGCAGCCGGAGGGCAGGGAGTAGGCCTGTGGGGGAAAGCAGAGCATGTTTCCCCCCCAGGGTTGTCTCACAGCCATTAACTCCTGCCAAGCCCTCACATTGATTATTACTAAAGGGCTGTGCTCCACACTGGGTTAGACAACAGTTATAAACACTACTTGAAATGAAGAGAGATGGAAGGCAATGGTATGAGGTCTCATGCATCCAAACATTGAAATCAATTTTATGGCATGTAGGCTCAAGGTTACAAATAATGTCAACAAAATATACATGTACACATACACCCACACTTACATGCACGAAATAAATATTGAAGATGAAGAATAAACACATATCCTGCTGTTCTGACTGGGCTGTATAGAGACCAAAGATCGACACGGGGCAGACAGGAGTGTGTTTCCATGCCAATGAGCTCTATGGAGATGGTCTGTCTCAGAAACAATATAGTTGCTGGAATGAGGTACACTACAGTTCTGCTTCATAAGACACCTCACTGAATGTAGAAAATGCTGAGTGCTCCAGCTAGCTCAAAATTGTGGTTTTGTAACATAAAATCATAAATTATTAGAATCTATAAACAATCAATGAAGCTTCCAAAATCTTTCTAACATTTGGTTTAATTACTTGTTTTGATAGTTATGGTTATATAGTTAAACCATAATTATTAAGTCGTATTACTTTGGTTAATAAAATAAGTATTAATAATTAAATAGTCAAAATAATTAAATGTTTCTTGAGCAGTAAATCAGCATATTGGAATGATTTCTGATGGATCATGTGACACTAAATTCAGCTTTGCCATCACAGAAATAAAGTACATTTTAAAATATATTTAAGTATAAAACAGTGATTTAAAATTGTAATCATTTCACAATATTACTGTTTTTCTGATCAAATAAATGCAGCATAAAAGTCTTCTTTCAAAAACATTTAAAAATCCTACTCATCCCAAAACACTGAAAGGTAAATTAAAGAAATAAACAAACAAAAATACACTAAAAACAATGCAAAAAAATAACAATACCTGTCCTTTGACAGTATTAGCAATATCAAATTGAATTTGTGGTTAAAAAGATTGGGTGGGGTGGGGCTTGGTGGGTATACATACTGACTTGACTGAGAAACACTGTTTTTTTCTCAGCAACACTGAGGAAAAACCTGCTTATCTTAGTGTATATTATGAATGTTGGTTCATTATGGGCACCAGCACATGTCCATTAAACACACTCCGTGTGTCGGTCAGGTTTTGCTAACGTTGTGAGGACCATATGTCTCCACAAGGACACGAAAACCCAGCCAGTGATCCCCACGAGGAGAAAAGCTTGAAAAACATACTAAATAATGTCTTAATAAAAATACAAAAAGGTTTGTGTGTGGGTTAAGTTTAGGGTTATCATTCTAAAACCACAGAAGTGAATGGAAAGTCCCACCATGATAGAATAACAAACGTGTGTGTGAGGTCAGTGAGGAGGAGGTCTTCCTTTTGAGAGTGACATTGTTCAGTCCATGGATTGAAGTCCAGAGGGACTAGATTTAATGAGCTCCCATTTTTGCTCTAATGACCCTCTCTCTACCCCCCCCCCCCCAAAAATATTCCCTCTTCATATTCTTCTCTTCTAATCGCTTTCTCTGGTGTTGTGGAGGATATTAACAACCTCTTCATCATGCACTCCAGGCCATTATGAGGGCCTGCCTCAGCTGCACACACACGCCAATCATCTCAATTACTCTTATGAGCAAAGAGAGGCCAATATCTTGTGAAACACTCACATGCACACGTGACAGAAGAATGGGAGAGAGAAAGATCTAGTGAAGGTGAAAGTTGTGAAACTAGGCCACACTACAACATGGTGCATTATCAGTGAAATCTTTATTTCTGTAGTGACAGTAAAGTGTGAGTTGTCATCTGTGCTTCTTAATAGCCCTTATGCTAATTTTTAATGTTGGGGAGTGATTCAAGCATTGTGCCATGAGAAAACGTTTCAAACCCAAACTTTAACGGATGTCAGTGAACCTTATCTGCAATTTAGTGCCATCAGAACAGTCATGGTTGTTTCTTGCCCTTTGTCAAGCAGTCAGGGAGCCTACATGCACCTTTCCTGCGACAGAAGCCGTTTTTAGACTCACCAGGCTGCAGTACACTGATGCCCAGCGGGTTGGAAGTGCGGTTGGCCACCGTGCTCCAGGCGCCATCGTAATTCCTCCGATAAAGCAGGGCAGCACACTGGTACGTCCCGGCCTCCTTGCGTCCGGCTCGGGTGATGCTGAGGCGAAAGTTGGTGTTAGTGGGTGTACGATCCACAGTGGTACGCGTGCCCAGGCCCAGCAACTGGTCGCCCCACTGCAGAGTGCCATCTCGCGTGAATGTCACCAAATCTCTGAACTCTCCGTCGCCCTCTGCTGGCTGGAAGCGCCAGGTGACTGAAGCAGGAACGTTGGGATTGTGCCGTGGCTTCACGATGCACTGCAGGTCAAACGAGTCACCAAACGTCACGCTAGGCGTACGGGAGGAGGCCGACACGAAGAAGAAAGATTCTGAAGCAAGAACAAAAAAAAAGAGAATACGTATAGTAATTAAAAATACTTGCAATATCCCAATGCATTAATATAGAATTCAGTTCATGTGCTGGCATTTATATCAACTCATCCAATCAGAACTTAAGAGTCAGAACTGTGTGTTTTATTATATTTGTTTTTGAGGCTTTATATTATTTAATAATAATAATAATAATACAATTTGAAACTGGTTTTGCACTCATGTGAAACTCTTTTTTATATTAAAAAAAACAATGGCAATGTATAGTTAAACTGCTCATTTTCACTGGCAGTCATTACCAGTGTTGCCAATTTAGCTACTTTGTAGCTAGATTTAGCAACTTTTAAAAACTAAGTTCTGGTTAGCTGCTAGCGCTGCCCCCTCAGCTCAAGGCTGTCACACAAGTAAACATGATGAGGTAACTGCGGGTGACTTAATTGTGAATTCCCAGCTGATACTGATGAGAGTGTGAATCTGCTAATGGGCATATAGACAACAAACCTATTCCCTGGCGAGTTGCTACTGGCACCCTTCAGCAGCAATTTACATCTGCATTGCTCATACTATACAAGTCCATGAGAAAAATAAACTCATTACAAGGGAATGCCCCCGCTGTTTTATCTTTCCATTTGAAAAGGAAGCACATTTCTGCATGAGATTTCTGGACCTTGAATAGTTTACCCAATGGAAGGTTAAAGCGCAATTCGGCTACTTCTGAGTGTTTGTGCTTGATATGGATGATAGCAGCTGGAGGCCATACGAAGCCGGAGACAACGAATTCCATTCCCAGTCTACCTGCCAGTTCCCTAATGATGCCACGCTGCTGGGCTGTAACAGAGGGCAGGTTAATGCAACACCCGTCGGGCACAAGCTTTGCCCAGATCTCAGTGGTATAGCCATTTGGAGAGCCTCTGTGTCCTTCAATTATGCAAACTATCTATTAAAGGAACGGGGCAGTAAAGTTAAATGTCTACATTATCAAACTACTCTGTCTGCATGCTAATGAGCCTCAAAGACTTCCCTGGAGAAATCCCAGAGTTCAGGCATTCACTGGGCTGAGAAAGGCTAGCAGGAGTTTGTTCTGTTTAGGAGTAAAGCATGACAATGGCAGAGTTAATCTATTCTGTGTTATGTTGATAAACTTTGGACAAGGTGACCTGTAGCATGCCAACTCAATCCGGCAGGCAGCAACATCGGAAAGCAGCCAAAAGGAGATTACACACATCCTTGTTTATTGAGCACATACAAACTAATCCTGTAAGCAAAAAATCCACTCTGCTGGATCATTTAATGAGCTCACTTTTGCTCAGATATTGAGAAAAATCGATGGATCTATAGCAGTGTTTCCTGCAAAGCTATTCATCTGCTAAAACTATAGCTCTACAATTTTTTTTTTTTTAAATCACAACCTGAGTTGTGAGCTTGAAGTCAGAATTGAATGTGATCATATAAAAAGACTGTGTATCAAGAAATAATGCCAAGGAAACACATCTTTATATCGTGTTGTCTTAGCCATAATAAAAAAACATTACGCACCACTATAGTGTGATTTAATTCTAGAAACTCACAAACTCAAGAATTAACATTTGAATCAGTCTGAGGAATCCTTGCCCAAATGAATCAATGAATAAATCACTAGTTATCTAACTCACTGACTGAACAGTAAGTCTTTACTTTCAGTCACTAGGGTTGGGTGATTATACTTATTTTCTTTCTGATCTGATACCAAGTGTCATTAATGCTGTCATCAGTCCTAACACTGATGCTTTTACTTCTAATAAACAGAATGTTTTTGTGATTTCTGGCAATAAAATGGGTAATAATTATGGGTATTTAGTTATTTAAAACAATTCAAAAACTTATTTGCCCATAATAAATGTCACATTTACCTTGATTGTTATTTAATGGACTGAAATAATTCTAGATGAAGCTTCTTTTCTCTGTCATTACCTCAGGTAAGTTTGGTTAAATGTACTCATGTTCAGATGAGAGAAAGGAGAAATAGTTCTCACTCAAAACAAACATTTGCAAACATACTATTATTTTCACTTTAAGGCTTACAATACACATTTTTAAACACATGATACAATTTAAAAGGAAAGTTCACCCCTAAATGAAATGTATTGATTCTCATAGTGTTTCTAAACCTGTTCGACTTCTCTGACTTTCTTCTGAAGAACGTAAAAAGATATTTTGAGTTCCTTTTTTTTGGGTCTGTACAATGGAAATCAACTGTAACCAAAACAGTATTGTGTCAAAATATCTTCTTTAACGTTCCACAGAATAAAGTAAGTCACAAAGATTTGGAACTACATGAAGATGAGTAAAAGATAACAGATATCCATTTAAAACATTCAAATTTAGTACTAAAATAGTACAAACGTAATGAAAAGTTAAACATGATCAGACGTAGAAAGAAAGAAAGAAAGAAAGAAAGAAAGAAAGAAAGAAAGAAAGAAAAATTGATAGAGGAGATGCTAAAAAATAAAGGACAGGCCTGAGCATGTGTGGCTCATAGATTTAGAAAGAATGATAGGACATTTACAAGGAGTGATAAGGGAGAAATAAAGAGAGACCATTCGCATATCTTTCATGTTTTGATGGATTCCAGGGCTTTACTCTCTTGTAAACATATGACCAGAAATGGCTTTCTATCTATCCTGTGCTTGACTGCAGACAGCAGGGAGCCATGATCAATGCCATTTTCTCCAGAGCGCAGGCCTGTAGGACACATGCTGAGAGTGATTCTTTACGGACACACTATCACCAGGGCTTTCACATACACAATCTTTCTCACATTCCAACATTTTTACCGTTGTTACTTTGTGTGACCCACTGTATGGTTCTCAATATGTAATCAGTGATCAGAGGAACTATCATGACACTGGAGGAAGTGTGGAAGAGCAGCATGAGCTGACGTCTGAGAGGAGCGAGTCCAGGCATGGCCAGACAGCCACAGCTGTAGTGTGTTTGATTATTCCAGACACAGAGACATGCTCAGAAAAACATGTGGTGTACACCCACCCTCACACACAGTGTGAATAGAGATTTCAAATCTCACAGACTGACACAAGGAGAGAGCTTCAGTCGGCCTCTGAATGGCTTTTTCATGTCAAGAATCAGCCCTATACAACTGGCTGTTACTTTGGTTGCTGACGTTTCTTCTCTTTGCTGTCGCAACTGTTTTTCTAACATATATCTAACCTATATATTTTTAATGTTTCTCTACATATGAGCATTACTATTTATGCTCATTTTTTGGTTCATAAAAAGAAAATGAACCTTTCAAAAAAATTATAAATGCAATGGGATGAAAATCTGTGAGACCCCATGAAGCCATTCAGCGCCCATCCCACAAGTCATCATGATGGACATGAACCCTTTTTTTTTTTTAAATCAGTCTTTTAAGCTCACTAAGGGGGCATTTATTTGATGAAAAATACAGTAAAAACAACAGTATTCTGAAAAGAAAGATTACAAAGTAACTGTTTTCATCAGCCATTACTCCAGTCTTTAGTGTCACAAGATCCTTCAGAAATCATTCTGATACGCTTTTTACGATTTATCATCAATGTTGGAAACAGTTGTTTTGATTTTTTCTTTCTTTTTTTTTTAAAGAAATTAACACTTTTATTTAGCATTAATTCATTAAATTCATAAAAACTGATTGTAAAGACTTATATTGTTAGAAAAGATTTCTATTTTTAAAAAATGCTGTTCCAAAAAATAAAAAAATAAAAAATTAAGCAGCACAGCTGTTTCCAACATTGGTAATAGATCAGCATATCAGAATGATTTCTGAAGAATCATGTGACACTGAAGACTGGAGTAATGGCTGATGAAAATTCTGCTTTTTATCACAGAAATAAATTATATTTTAAAATATATTAAAACAGAAACCCCATTATTTTAAATTGTAACAACATTTCACAATATTACTGTTTTTTCTGTATTTTTGATCAAATAAATGCAGCCTTGATGAGCATAAGAAACTTCTTTAAAAATCGTACTGATCCCATTTTGAATGGCAGTGTACATGAATGGTAATCAATGGTAGTCAATGGAATGAGAAGTGTAGTATGACCACAACCCAAACTTTCGAATGGTAGTGGAAATTAAGATATTCAATATTCAGCTGCCTTTAAATTTTTTGAAGACAATATGGGAAGTCCAAAATCTTAAATACAGCTATATAGCACACTCACTAGCAGATGTACCATTAAACCTAAATCTATCTGCCATCCAGTTAACATGCTGGGAGCTCTAACTGCTTTCTTAGCAATCAAAAAATTTAATTGTGGCAGAATGTGTGTCTGGCCTCACCTCTGGGTGTCATGTGTAACCCAGCCAAACAATTCTACCGCTACAGGGTGGCCTGAAGCCAGTCAGCATCCAAACCACTGCCAGACACTAATGAGCATGTTAAGACTCTTAGCAGAATAACATCACAAACTGGGCCCCCTGCTTCACATCCGGTTCTGATCCTTCATCCATACGCAGTCACCCAGAGTCAATGCTGGAAAACACAACACTGTTATTTTTACTCAGCGCTACCAACACACCTGTCACAGGGCAAGAGCAAAGGAAACAAACAGCGTCTATGCCCACACGGACGAATAAGAGTGACTATCACATGATCACATACACACCCTACTCAAACAAAGTGACTCCTGCAACACACCTGGAGAAGTCTGTACTTACAGTAAAAGCCAAAACAGCAGACATCAAGAGTGTCATGCTGCCACTCTTTGAGCTCCAAATCAAAAACACAGCTGATGAAACACTTCAACGAAGCTGATTCTGACAGCAGAGGAAGTAAAAATGATCAATGTCATCGCAGAGAAGGAGCATGGATATAAATAATTAAAATTAATAAATAAAAAAGCCCTGTCTCTGTCATCTCATCAAAGCTTCAATATGCAGGATGCGTGAAGACTTGATTTTGGATGAGATTCCCAACCTTAAAGCTGCATTTAGGGTTCCTACATCTTTGACAAATAACTTTTCCAATCCCTTGTTATTACCACATTAAGATTAAAAACCACATAAAGAAAAAAATCAAGCATTTTAGAGATTGCCATAAAAGTGTTTCCATTTCAAAGTACAAAAAAAGAGAAGTCAAAGTTACCTTTAAGACAGAAACAGGCTTTCTCTAAAAAAAAAAAAAAAAAAAAAAAAAAAAAAAAA